TGGAATGTAAGATTTCAGAAAGCAGAAACCATGATTGTCTAATTGAGGAGCTTACAGCCTCAGAGCTGGTGTGCTTGAGAGAATGTGAAATTATAATGTAACTCTTGCCCAAGAAGGTGCCACAAGTGCAGAGACATCAGTGGTAAGCCAAAGCTGGATCTATGTAAAAAAACACAGATTCTAAGGAACGCTTTTGGAGTCCATCTCTGAATTGAGCCGACAGGCCATACATAGGGACAGAATGACATCTGGTTTCCCATCACATACCCACACCTGCTAACCAACATACAGCTTGAGGGTCTAATTTTAGACTCAACAGCTGTGACAGCTTTTTCTCTTTAAAAAAAGGCGGGGGGAGGGTTGTCCATATTTCATCCTCTGGGTAGAGTGGCCAGCCATCATTGTCACATTCCCTGGCAAAGGAGGGGAAAGAAACAATGTCCTTTCTTTGATGTCCCACCAAGATTACCCATTGAGAATGGCTGCCTAAAATACCTTGCTTAAATCCGTGTCAAGAGATAAGAAAACAAGTTTCCTAGAGTCTGGACCATATCTTTCAGCACATAATCCCCTGCTCAGAAACCTTCATGCGGCTGCTGACTGCTGAAGGGACAAGACCTCTCCACCATAACCTGGGATCCAGAGCACTCTACGGCTTGATGTAAATCCACCCTTTATCCATGTCCCTACTTCTACCTCACCACTTTGCTCAAGGTGACGTCCAAGACACCTGGACTCACACCCTGGCTCAGCAACCTCCTCTCACTCTGGGTAAGTTATTTAACCTGAGTTTTAAAACACTGCAGGGGAAGGATCTAGCTTTGACCTTGATGTGGGAGGCGCCCATAAATATTGGCCCGATATATCAAAAACCTAAAAGGAGAGTGTTTGGGAGAGGACAAGAACATAACAGATCAAAGAAAGAAAAAAAAGTGTAATTGGTCAAACCTTTTTATAGAACAATCCGATAATATGTATCAAAATATAACCTTTGACCCAGAAATCCAACTCGCTCCATCTACCTTAAAAGGTTATTGAATAACTACAGAAATACATAATAATAGGAATTTCATCACAGCGTTATTTGTAACAGCAAAAAATTACAGAAACAATCTAAATGCCAATTAGGAATGAACTAAGAAAATTATGTAAACAGACACTATCGCTAGGTAATGAAAACTTGTCTTTTTCCCCCAGAACTGTTTAATATTTTTTATGACACATGTATCATATTTTCCAGAATCAAGGTATTGGAAAAATAATTTTTAAAAAAGACACAAAGGGAAAAGGTCCTGAAGGATGTTTTCCTTGGATTCTCAGGGCCAATTATCACTTTACATTTCACTGATAAAGGTCTGGTTCAGGCTAGCCAAATAGCCCAGATCTCTGAGAAAACTGAGGCTAAAACAAGGTGGATGAAAGACTTTTGTGTTTTCTGTATAAAATCAGACAATTCTGTCATTTTACTACTTCTACGTACAAAAATCCCAAACACCCATGTTCCGTATGAAGCTCCCGCCATGCGAGAGGCTGAGGAAAAGCACCTAGTAGGTGGTTCCAGGCAAACCCGCTCAGAGGCTAATAAGACGTGGCTTTCACAATCTTTCGGTGGGTGGCTGGAGCATCTGAGAATTACCACCACAGGACCGAAATTATGGGGAGCAGTAACAATTCGTATAAGTGATGGGGCTCCAGAACGGATTTTAAATTTGGGGGTTTTAGTTATTTGAGCTTGAGAGTCTTACTATTTCCATTAAAATGACAAGTGAATCAGAGATTCAAATCATACAGAAAAACGAAAAACAGTACATTATCCTCTAAAATCAGAGCTCACGGCAGTAATCACTATTAACACTTGATGCTTGTTATATTTGGCTTTTGTCTTTAAGCCTATCTCAAAAGGAATTTATCGTTTCTCACCCATTAAATTGACAAAAAAATTTTTAAAGTATGTTAATAGGAACTGCTGGCTTAGGGAAATGAACTCTTTTAAGGTGTACAACTCAATGTTTTTGCTATATTCAGAGTTGGGAAACCATCAACATGAGTTCCCCAACATTTTCATCACCCCAAAAAGAAACTCCATGCCCATTAGCAGTCACTGCCCCCTCTTTCCCTCCTTGCCCAAGGCAACCACTAATCTATTTTCCGTCCTTATGGACATACCAATTCTGCACATTTCAAATAAACTGATTCATATGCTATGTGTCCTTTTGTAACTGGCTTCTTCCGCGTAGCATAATGTTGTCAAGCTTCCCCCACATTATAGCATGTGTCCTTCATTCTTATCGCTGAATAATATTCCATTTATAAGTATACCACATTTGGTTATATATTCATCACTAGACAGACATTTGGTTTCCACATTCTGCCTATTATGAACAACAGTGCTATAAACATTCCTGTACAAGTTTTTGTGTTTTCACAAAATACGTATGTTTTCAATATAGTATAAACTGCTGAGTCCAGAGGTAACTCTATGTTTAATTTTCTGAGGCCCTGAAAACCTGGTTTGCATAGCAGCTGCACCATTCACATTGCCATCAGTGGTGCGTAAGCATTCCCATTGCTCCCCACCCTTTGCAACACTTGTTACCATGTACCTTTTTTACTATAACCATCCTAGGCAGGTTTGAAGGGGTATCTCATCATGATTTTGATTTGCACTTCTGGATGTAGAATGATGCTGAGCATCTTTTCACACACTTAATGGCCAGCTACCCATCTTTTTTGGAGAAATATCTACTCAAATATTTTGCCCATGTTTTAATTAGGCTTTTTTTTAAATTCAAGTATAATTAACATGCAGTGTTATATTAGTTTCCATGTACAATATGGGTTCAATAATTCTATACATTATTCAGGGCTCATCAAAATAAGTGTACACTCTCACATATTATGGATATACATATAAGCAGATATATGGTTTATAAGTATTCTCTCCCATTCTCTACATTGTCTTTTGACCTTCCTGACAGTGTCCCTGAAATAGAAAAATTTTCAATTTTGATGAAACCAATTTCACCTATTTTGTCTTTTGTTGCTTGGGCTTTTGGTGTCATATCTAAGAAATCACTACCTAATCCAAGATTGAAAAGATTTTACCTGTTTTCTCCTAAAAGTTTTATAGGTCTTGGGGTGCCTGGGTGGCTCAGTTGATTAAGTGTCTGCCTTCAGCTCAGGTCATGATCCCAGGGTCCTGGATTGAGCCACACATCAGGCTCCCTGCTCAGTGGGGAGTCTGCTTCTCCCTCTACCCTTCCCCCCTGCTTGTGATCTCTCTCTCTCTCACACAAATAAATAAGTAAAATCTCTTTAAAAAAAAGTTTTATAGGTCTTAACTCATTTAGGTCTTTGATGCATCTTCAATTAATTTTGTATTTGGTATGAGGTAAGGGTCTAACTTCATTCTTCTGTTTGTAGATATCCAGTTGTGACCGCACCATTTTTGAAAAGAATATTTTTTCTTCATTGAATAGTCTTGGCATATAGCTTTTTAAAGTCTTCCTTTTAAATGTTGTATAGCTTGATAGTGGCAGTGTTTACACAACTATGTCAAAACTCCTAAAACCGTACAATAAGAATAAATTCTGCCATAAGAAATTAATATATTCAATAAACCTAACAATTAAAACTTCTCCTTTAGAGAAACATTCATATATTGCATACGTAAGGGTCATAGGCTTCACAAATACTATACTACTATTTGTAATAAAGATAAACTGGAAACTATCTGAACCTCTACCAAAAAAAAGCTAAACAGGGGCGCCTAGGTGGCTCAGTCAGTTAAGTGTCTGCCTTGGGCTCAGGTCATGATCCCAGGATTCTGGGATCAAATCCCGCATCAGGCTCCCTGCTCAGCAGGGAGTCTGCTTCTCTCTCTGTCCCTCCCCCAGCTCGTGCACTTGCACACGCGTGCACTTTCTCTCTTCCAAATAAATAAAATCTTTAAAAAAAAAAAAAAAAAGCTAGGGGGGCCTGGGTGGCTCAGTTGGTTAAGCGACTGCCTTCGGCTCAGGTCATGATCCTGGAGTCCCGGGATCGAGTCCCGCATCGGGCTCCCCGCTCTGCAGGGCGTCTGCATCTCCCTCTGACCCTCCTCCCTCTCGTGCTCTCTCTCATTCTCTCTCTCTCAAATAAATGAATAAAATCTTTAAAAAAAAAGCTAAACAGATGTAGTATAATCATAGGATTGAATCCCAGAATCCCACACGACAGTATAAAGGAATAAGATAGGTTTTATATATGTTAAATAGATAAACTTTTATTAAGAAAAGTATACAATGACTAACACAGAATGAAAGCATATATGTGAAAACATACAAAACCATGCCATATAGACTCTGTGAATACACATGTAAATACCTAATGGTATCTCTTAAAAGTCTGGAAGAATCCTCAGCACATTGGTAACACTCACTGCTTCTGGAGAGAGCAAAAAGGCACCAAGACTGGACAGGGTGATGAGAACACAGTTGAGCTCTGTTATTTTTCCCCCAAAGGGAAATCTATTCATTAACTACTTGTAGGATTAAAAATTAATAATGCGGGGCACCTGGGTGGCTCAGTCGGTTAAGCGTCCAACTCTTGATTTCAGCTCAGGTCATGATCTCAGGGTCGTGAGATGGAGCCCACACGCAAGGCATAGAGCCTGCTTGAGATTCTCTCTCTCCCTTTCCTTCTGCCCCTCCCCCCCACTTACCCACATGTGCACTCTCACTCTAAAATAAAAAAATTAATAGTGTGTACCTTATGTGAGTTATAAACAGATGAGTATGGAATTATAGCTTTTTAAATAATTTTTTATTGTTATGTTAATCACCATACATTACATCATTAGTTTTTGATGTAGTGTTCCATGATTCACTGTTTGTGCATAACACCCACTGCTCCACGCAGAACGTGCCCTCTTTAATACCCATCACCATAGCTTTTTAATATATGCAGTCATCTGTGTATCCCTGCACCCAACCTAAACACACACACACAGCTGATCTTACCAATTTGGATTTTCCATACTTTCCCGGAAGACAGACTCTTCCTTCATGGATGCATACTGTGTCCACGTAAGGCAGTGACTCCGTATAGCCATGTTTCTTTCCTGAGGATTGAGCCATGATTCCTCTTCCAACTGGATACTAGGTACCTTTAAAATGCTCACCTGTCCAACAGAGAGTGGATGGCTTTCTCAATTTAGGCAGAGCGAGCTACATAAAGACTAAATCCAGAGTTGCTTTTAGTTTTGGATAATTAATAGGACAAGTGATGCTCATATAGAAATGAAGGCTCACCAATGGCTGTGAGTCCTTGATAATCAAACACACTATGACCTCACTAAATGCTGGTGAGGACATGCAAATGGCCCAGGATTTCTGCAGGCTGTGCAGTCCCTGGCCTGATTTCCCTAACTGCTAAACACTAAGCAAATTATCAACCTCCTTCTTGTCTCCTCTAGGGCTGGTTATGGCCTTCTTAAATTGATGAATTCTAATTGGGCCCACTTATGGGCTCGCATACAGGACAATATCAGATAAAATATTTTCTTCATTTTAAACTCTGTCCAATACCTCGAAATGTATGGTTTCCAAGGTGGAGGAGACATGGGAAACTACAAAGGCAGCATTGTACAAGTCAGAGGTGTCCTTAAATTATTTAAGAATTGAGATACAAGACAAAGTTGAAGGCCTTTTTAAATAATAGATTCAAAGCGTGTATATAGGGCAAAGGCGGGGTATACACCCTGTAGAAAAAGCCAATGATAATTTGCTGCATACAAGGGCAACACATACAGAAAATAAAAAAGTTCTTTTCCATTGTCACATCAGCTTTCTTTCCTTCAAAGAATGTGACAGTCTTAATGCATGACAAGGAAGTGACAGAAGCCAACCTTTTTTTCTACGTACAGCAAAGAGCACAGCAGTGTAACCTGCAAGCTAATTGGCTTCTCCATCACAAACAGAATCACTTCCAGGTTGAAACAACCATCTGAGACATCGTAAGAAGTGCACATCAAGATGCTCTCCTCTTATTTCCTAATGATTCTAAAAGGACTCATGTCAATAATTCCACTATGATTTAAGCAATGTTATTAAAACTTCCCACTTACCTTTGCCAACAATCACCAGAGTGCTTAAGAATTTCAAAGAGAGAAAACAATGTGATATCATGAAGATTTCATCATCCCCACCGATTACAGAAACACACACGAAAGACTTACAGAGAACACTGAGAACATTATACTCCCTGAAATAACTATACTCTCTGACAGTGAAATAGAAATTGAAGCCTTTATCTTCCTTGCTAAAGATGAGACTAAATATTTACCGAGTGCCCATTTCTGATCTTTCTTATCTAAGAGTCATATCTATCCATGGACAGATGAGAAAAGCTGGTCATGTCATGCAAAATGTCCAAGGTATCTTTACAATAATTACAGACCATCTCTATGTCCACTAAGAGCCCTCCACAAATGAGAACAAGAAATAGGAAAAAAACTATCTCCGGTGGCATCTGCCAAAACTGAGGTTAGATATGAGAGTGCTTTCACCCTCTGAGGGGCTATGAGGTACAACTGGGAAAGTTCTAACACTCCTGTACATCAGAAAATGCTGTCTCTTTTTTTTTCCTGGTTATTTTTTTATTGTTATGTTAATCACCATACATCATTAGTTCTTGATGTACTGTTCCATGATTCATTGTTTGTGTATAACACCCAGTGCTCCACACAGAATGTGCCCTCTTTAATACCCATCACCAGGCTAACCCATCCCCCCACCCTCCTCCCCTCTAGAACCTTCAGTTTGTTTTTCAGAG